TAAAAATAAAAATTGCGATAAGAATTTAACACTTTTTTCCAAAACACAGTTGGGAGCATTTTGTCTATAGCTTTATCTATAGAAAAACTTTAGAATACAAAAAGATTATTTTTACTTGCTTTAGTTTTTTATGATTGTCTACAAAACGCGATGTTTCTAAGCGTGTTTTTTCTTTTGACACTATTACAAAACCTTTATAAAGTTATAGGAAATAGTGAGTGAGTGAGTATTATGCAATAAAAAACTTTTCAAAACACTAGGTAAAAAAAAAACAATTGAAAAAATCCAATTTGTCGTAAAAAAAGGTTATTCTGTATAATTAATTATATGGAATGTGTTATATATGACTACAAAGGTGGATAAATTTCCTATCATATAAATATAAGGAATATTTTAATGACATACCTAACTTATGTTGGAAGAAATAAAATTTTCATTACAAATTTGAGGTTATTTCTTCACGCCAACCACATTTCAGATAATGATAGACGGCATAATACTAATTGTGGGGAGTTTCAACTAGATTGGGGATTTTGTGGGGATTGACGCTATGTGAGGAAAAGGTGGGGATTCTAACCTTTTATCATTTTGTTTAATCTATCAATTGCTGATGCATCGCCAGTTTGATCGTCACTGTTAGAAACACTGTGATGGACTATATCGACGTGTTTTTCAACTTCGCACATCCCTCGTATTTTTAACAAGCAGCTTAAATATAATTATTATTAGAGCACTTGGTTCTGAATTGTATCATGGTTGTGAAATTACCAGTCGGTGCGTGTTGAGTTCGCGATTCTTTCTCCCGTTTAGGCCGGTCCCCGGTATGAAGCAAAACGAAATCAGCTATTGATAAACAAAGCCGAGCAGTTGGTACTTCCACACCACAACTTACCACTCGTCAACTTTAAATATTAAATATAGGTCGAAACTCATTGATTATTTGTAACGTTAACATAGTGTCACCAAATGCACAACAAATAATCAATTGACTTAATTTTGTAAGGTAAAGAAAAATGATTTTTTGGTCAGACTGATTACAGATTAACGTTGAATCTAATTAATATTATAATTAATATAACTGCCTCATGACATGCAGAGGTCTCTGGTTCGATTCCCGGATCGGGAGAAATATTAGTATGGCCTACATTTATTTCTCTCGTGAGTTTGGGTGTAATTTGTGGTTGTCTACGTGTGTGTCCATGGCACCCGCGACCCAGGGTTTCTCTAGTGCGGGGCTATGTTGAGTGTGTACGTTATTATTATTATTATTAAAATAAATAAACGATTTAAGGTCATCTAATTTTATAATTAGTTTTACTTTTTACATTCTGTTTACATTCAAAGCAAACATAATAGATTATTACATTTTGAGTTTCTTAATTCTTTATTCGATTTTTAAGCGATGTATTTCTAATAAATAATGAAAATTCGAGATGTGGGGAATTTGTGGGGAACATGAACTTTGCTCTCCCCAAATTTTAACTTGGATTGGATTTGAACTGTGATTTTTGTATCGAATGATGTGACTTAATATCCAAGATTCACCACCTCCACTAGATATTTTAATATTCTTTATTTTATCCATTTCGCATGAACTCTTACAACGTCCAATAGAGTAAAGACGAATGACGGATTGTAGTATTTTTAGACGGGTAGAATTTGAAAGAAGAATTGTAGTATTTTTTTAAATACAATCTACTAAAGACGCGCTATAGCGTGTTTGTCAATAAGTACAAACACTACAGAATGTCTATAAATTAAATATATCTAGAATAAACTTAAGAATACTAGTTTTTAGAGTATTAATAGACTTTACTGGATGTGTATAAAACAATTTTACTAAGTATAATCAGTTGTTCTACAGATGAACTTAAAATAAGGACTATAAGAGTAAATCTTAAGAGAGATTACATTTAATTATGTTGTTTGGTATTAAGAAGGTGTTAAAATTTTGACTTGAGTGAAATAAGTCTATAAGAACAATTTCTTTTTTCTGTAACCATTTATAGAGAACTATTATCTAAATCAATATCATATTAAGACTGTTTATAGGTATAACAGTTTTAAGGCGTATAAAGTGTGCTCCTTGGGTCTGTTCCTAAAAGTGAAAAGTTTTTATTTTGTTCTCCTTTTTTATTTTATAAGAATTGAGACATTACGTAGAACACCATGAAAAAAAACATTCAAAAATAATTGTGATGTTAGAGGTCCTATAATATTGCGCAATTGATGACAATATTGATTGATCTTGATAATAATCTATTATAAAGTGCTTATGAAAGATTAAGATAGAAAATTTCATCTTATTTTGTTGATTTATAAAATTTTTATAGACTTTTCAACTAATAAGCACAAATTTACAAAAATAATAAGTAACTAATGTTTTTTTTTTTTCATTTATATAGATAAAAGACTTTCTTTATCATGTGCTACACAACGTCATGAAAATATTCGTTTGTCTTCCTAAACTGAACGCGTAAAGTTGCGGTCTCACAGACCGCACGCGACTGCTTATGTACGGCGCAAGGGTGCGCTGGAAGGTTAATTGTGTACGATGGTTGTCACTAGACCAACACACAACTCACGATATTCTGTGACTTGTCGACCGATATTCGATGTCGCTTATATTTGCTGATAACTGATGAAGATGTTGATACTCGCTTCTTCAATCGCTTCTAGACCACAGACGTTGAAACACGTCCGAAACGTCGAGGTAAATAAGTTTAGACACGATTAAGTCCCGAATTTAAGATTAAATAATGACTGACAATATGTTTTGAAAAGTACAACCTTGCCCAGATTTTTACAGCGCGTTCCTTCGCGCCAACATGTTACAGCGCGCAGAAAGCGCACTGTGCTTTCAATCAATTTCAAAATTATCATTTAGATCGTCGAAGACCCAATTTCCCAGATAATTAAACCGTTCCATTCTTAATGAGGTGTATCACCAAGTTTAATTGGAGGTAAAACAGAAAATAATTTATTGCCCGCTTTGAAAATTATAAACTCGCTCTTACGCAGTATTTCCAAACTGTCACAGCATAACCGTGCGGCCGCTATCAAGTAAATTCAGCATGTTTGGGAAACTTTGACAACTCATAATTCATTTATTTGTTAAACATTAAAACAAAAACATTTTTATATGTACTACGGAACTTTAAAATGGATAGTGTTTTTTATCATTCAATGATTGTTGATATTTTTATCAATGTGACTATTTTGCTTTTGGAACAGGAAAATAAATATTGTTAAAATATTTATCTATAAAGAAATTAATACGCATTTAACGTGCATCCCACTTGATGGAAATTGACGATGAGGTTGACTATGCATACCTAAATAATGCCTATTCACTTTTGCCTTGAAAAGAAAACCGTTCAATTTATAAAAAATCTTTATTTTATCATTATTATTCATAATGTTCATAAATATTTAGAAATTTTAAATTGCCTGTGGTTGGTACAAAATTTAAGTACATTAAAATGACAAATTATTATGTTTTGTGTGATTACTTCTTATGATGTTACTTATGTATTTTCCAATTACATTAGTCATGCAAATTAATTCTTATATTCTTGAATGTAAAATAAACTCCAAATTCAGGTACTCTAGGAAATACGGGAATAATTTCTTCTCATTTGTTTCAAGAACAGAATAATAAAGTAATGAACTCGAAAATTGACTGTAATAAGAAGAACCGGAATAATATTTCCTCTCGTTATTTGTTTTGGAAAGAGAACAAAAATATTTTTGGGACCTAAATCGCGTATAGTAGCAGTATCCTATATCCAGTATCGTTGTGAAACAGTTCGTCCAGGGTAGTACTGCCACCTTACCTATTTCTATCGCCCAGCAGTAATATCAGCATTACTGTATTCCGGTTTTGAAGGTAAGGGTGCTGCTGGTGAAATTACAGGCAAATTGGACTTGTCAACTTAAGTCTCAGGGTGACAGACGCAGTGGCAGTGTCCCTCAGATCTTTGCGATTTAAAGCTCTGAGTGGCGCTACAACTGTTATGGACAGGTGTGTAGCTTACCATCAGGCGCACGACTTGTTCGTCCCGTCACTTGATATTATTAAAAAAAGTATATATATACATATATATTTTTTTATTTTATTATCCGAGTCAGCCACCGTGGGACTTGTAAAGGTCCCGATACGTTGGTTTGTTTAAAAAAAAAAACAAATGTGGATACGAGATGTAGAGCCGACAAAATACTTTCATTTCCAATGTGTAACAATCGCAAAAACCTACGAACTCGAATAGCGTAATAAACTAAAAAAACAATCAGAGACCATCCAGAACACAATATCAGCTCATCCAAAAGTGGATAAAAAATTACAAAACTTATTAATTACTCGAGTTCTTCGATTTTCGCGACTGTTACACATAGCAAATGAAACTATTTTTTCGGATCTAAATTAATAGGTAACTTTTTAAATTTTTATTCTCACTCCTTCACTGTTCATGCAGTCAGACTTTGGAACGCACTTCCTATATCTGTTCAGGAAAGTATATCAATAGCTACTTTTAAATTGAGAATTGAAATATGTATTTATCTTAGCATTTATCTAGTTTCTAATAGTTTAATTCTAAATATTGTATTACATAATATTGTATTTTGTTCACGTGAGCCTGTTATTACAATTATTTTGTCCTGTATTTAGGTCTGCAGGAAGAAATTTCTTATACAAATGAGCTGTACCTTTTGTTTGTGTTGTCCTTTTATTAAATGTATTCTGTGCTTTTTCCTGTGCAATAAATATTATTAAAAAAAAACTTTTGTAACAATTGTAAAAATAGGATTATTTGCATTATGTTACACTACTAGTGGATGACTACCATCTCAGTCAGCCGTGACGCGTAAAGAATATCGCTTCGGATTCTTCATTCATTCGGTTCGAAAACAAGCAAATACTATTTTGACCCGAAAACATAGTTTCATTACCTATTTTAATAATTGTTAAAAATTTCTTAAGAAAAATTCATAAAAATTACTTGATAGCAATGTATCTCCATACGGCGAGCGACAGCGTGAGGCAGATGGAGGCGGTGTGGAAGATCTGTGCGAAGTGCATGTGGAACAGCAGGTACGCTGCCCAGCGGTACGGCATTTCGCGTTGGCCGGGCAGAATCTGTAGAAAGTTAAGCCGAAGAAAGGTATTTTAATTCCATTGTACACAGCAACAGGTCACGGCCTCTAGGAGGAAAACACACACATAAAATTTCACGACCTCTGTGGCCAAACGGCTTGCATACTGTGGGTGCTGGATAAGGGTGTGAGGAATTTTCTAAATTGGTTCTAGTCGAGGTGTTCTGGGTAGGGCCCCGGAGTGAATTACGTTACTCTGGTGCCCGTGGTATAGGGAATTCTCTAGTTTGAGGCTAGGTAATTGGTGTGGTTATTTGATACACAATTATTACTATAAGGCAAGCAGTCCCAAACATGTTCTTAAAAATTGTACGATTATGGAAGTATAAAAGTTATAAAAAAAACCGTCTTAGCTGCAAAATTTACCGCGCCCGGAACGCATCCGCGGCCGCGTGTGGCCAGAGCATAATAGATCTACTTGACGCCTCTTAAGTAGAAACCGTGGATTGGAATCCGGGCTCGCATCTCAGAGTTTCTCGGAATTTATGTGCGAAATTTTAATTTGATATTCAACCTGAGCTTTTCGGTGAAGGAAAGTCGTGACGAAACCTTCAAAGAAGAAGGTTTGTGTCACCAGCAAAAAGTTACTCAACCGATCTACTCAGCGTTGCTTTGTGTTACCTATCATTTCATAACCAACAAACATTTACACAGCGTAACATTGTAACATAACATAATATTTTCGTAGCAATAGATCTCGTTGTGAAAGAGTTCGTCCAGGTTAGTACTGCCACCTTACCTATTTCATTTCAATGTGAGCATTACTACGTTCCGGTTTTGAAGGCTAAGGGTGCTAGTGAAATGACAGGCACATGAGACTTGTCAACTTATGTCTCAAGGTGACGGGCGCAGTGGCGGTGACCATCAGATCTTTGCGATTTAAAATTCTGAGTGGCAACTGTTATGGACAGGCGTGTAGCTTACCATTAAGCGCACGACTTGGTCGTCCCGTCACTTAGTATTTTAAAAAACATTGTATAACTGGCAATATGACAAAGTGACATTTCCGCACACTTGGGTATGTACAGATGTGGTAATACAGAAAAGAACACAGTCCATTGCATGACATTTATCATTATTACCCATAACGTTTATGAATATTAAACGACGCGATCTTCTTTCATAGCTCTAATGATAGTAAATGCCTTCATTAAAGTGCGGTTTACGCTAGGATGACAATGGACCTTAATTTCAATGATTAAGGTGGATATCGCCAACGTGTCACATTATACTTGATAACGATATAAGTGGAATTATTCAATGTATAGTGTACTGAAAGTGAGGCGATGAAGGGATATATTGTTTATTTCGAAGTTGTTTATTATTACATAGATACTATCATTTTGTCTTGTTGTAGCGTGGCCTGTACGTGGATGTAGTATTGGTAAGGGTCCAAATCAAACAGCTGATGACATACGACTGCTTTATTAATCTCCATGCATATCTGGAAATACCCGCAACATATTTATAAGTCTACCTACTACATCTCACTTCTTACATCATCAACGTACCTAAGTATGATGTTATTAATTCGCATTTATGCCTTTTCCCCTTCGTTAACATTTTAAAAACATTACTTATTATTTAACCTATAATTTAAAAGAATTTATTTATCGCAAAGTTTACAACCTAACACAAATATTAGAGAAACAACAAATAAAATAGTTGCTTATTAAGTGACTTACAAGTAGACAAAGAGGCAGTACTTCTACTTAATTAGAGCATGCTCTTTGCTAACTTTACCTATACATCATCCGTTCATCATCATCGTCATCCGTTCGCAGCCAGTATGAACGACTTGTGCTTGATCAACTATGCGTGATTTAACCCAAACTTTATTCTGCTTAAGGCGTATTGTCTCGTTTGGTTTTAATTTGGGGAATGTTTTAGTCTCACAGTCGTAATTTAATTTATATTTAACTATTCTTGCCGATCTATCATCTTTAAAAATACGACGATCGATTGTGCGCGGTTTTAATGTATCCTCAATATATAAACTTCGACTCATCAGCAATTGAGCTGGAGAGTAAATTTCTCCTGTCACCGGTGAATTTCTAAAATTCAGTAAGGCTAGGTACCAATACTCACCAGTTTCGTAGGCCTTTAAGATTAATCCTTTTACGATACGTACGTTGCGTTCCGCAAGTGCGTTAAATCTCGGGTACTCGGGTACTCGGAGAACTGGTGGCATAAGTAAATTCCCATAGTTTACAAAACGCCTTAAACTCTGATGACGTAAATTGCGTGCCATTGTTGGTGATAAATTTCTTTGGTTTCCTAAGACGATTAAACATCTGCCTTAATGATCCAGTCACGGTGCTACTTTGCAAATTATGTAAATGCCCAGTTTTAACAAATTTAGAAAAATAATCTACTACCAGCAAATACTGTTTTCCTTTAAATTCGACAATGTCACCCGCGAGAACCTCGCGCGCGGGCGCTGCGCGATGTCGCTGCCACGTCTCGTAGGTGAGCATGGCGCGCTCCACGTCTCGCGCCATGCCTGGCCACCACATAACTCCGCGCGCGCCTCTGGCATTTGTCCACCCCCAGGTGGCCCTCTTGGACGCGGCGCACCATTTCTTTACGTAACGACGCCAGTATCACTATTCGCTCATTTCTAAATAAAATTCCATTCACTTCGTGAAGTTCTTCATGGACATCCCAGTATGGTTTAATTATTAATTAATTAAGGTAATTCTGTACCTTAAGCCATTTAGTTATTTTATTTTTATTAGCGTTTTTACATGCATTTCCTATATTCAATTTTTAATTTATAAAATTGTACAATCTCCCACTCCTAAAATGATAAAACCTTGAAGCAAAGGAAGTACTAACCTTATTTGTCTTACATACTGCATAGGATCTTCTAGCCGTGGATACTCTAATATAATTATCAATACGTATATTAGATTGTTGTCGAAGTACCGTGTGCAGAATATAAATTTGACGAACAGAGAGAACATCTGCATCGTGAGAAAGTTGCGCCGTTGGAAATATTCGGGGCTTAAGCAAGCATACTTTCAGCAACACTCTCCGTACTTAGTTTTTTCCGCATTTAATGTTAAGCAGTTTCTAGTAAGCCAAGTAGTAACACTATCAAATCCAATGAATGAATGAATGAATGAAGCTCATCTCAACTATCAGCGTAAAAGGTGAGGTGTAGGTAGGAGTAGTGTCATCTGCATAGGAAGCGATTCTGCAGTTTTTTATATTCCGTTGGCAAAGATCATTGACGTAGCAAAGAAAGAGGGTAGGACCTATAATACTACCTTGCGGTACACCATATATAATTGGTAGATAGTCACTGAAGTGATCACCCACCTTCACACACTGTGATCTGTTACACAGATAGTCCGAGAACAAAGACAGCTGCACTCCTCTAATTCCCATGTTACGTAGGTTTTGAATTAGGTGGGTAAAGAGACTGTGTCAAAAGATTTTGTCAAATCAAGAAACACTGTAAGACATTTTTGTTTTTGGTCAATTTTTTTTGATACAAAGTCCGTAAAGTCATGTACCGCATCATCTGTAGACTTCCCGGTTCTAAAACCATATTGAGTTTTAGCAAGTAAGTTTTTCTGTTCGAGGTATTTAGTCAATCTTTTATTGATTATTCGTTCGAAAACTTTAGGAAGTGTCGTAAGAATAGAAATTGGTCTGTAATTATTAACACAGTCGCCCTTAAATATGGGATAAACTATGGACCTCTTCAGTGCATCGGGAAACACTCCACCCGTGAGACAGCGATTAATGATATCAGTGAGAACTGGTATTATTAAGTGTGATATAGCATTTAATACTTTAGCACTGATTCCGTCCCTACCAGGAGAACAATCGCTTTTCAGCTGCAAAATGGTACGTTCCACTTCTTTACAATCACAAGGTAAAAGAACAAATGAATGTAATGCTCCATTAGAAACATTTTGCAGATCTGTAGGTGTCGAAGTAAGCCTTTGAACCAAGTTCCCACCAATAGTAACAAAGAAGTCATGTATTTTATTTACTGCAATTTTAGGGGTACTGTAACCAAGTAACAATTCAGTAGGGATAATTTTTTAGGTATCACTATTTGTAACCTTTTTGATGGAATCCCATAGTTTTTTTGAATTATTACTTGCCATGAGCAACTGATTCTTCTCATACTGTCTTTTGAGCTTTAATGAAGATCTATTATAGAAGATCTATTGTAATGTTGCAATTTTAAAAGCATGCGTTGAAGATGTGCCGGTGTTTCGTTAAGCGGTTTCCTCATGATAGCTTTCAGGGGCTTATCTATCTCTCTCTCTACTCTCGATAGTGATCATGTCATGATGAGGCATGCGCCCAGTCCGCGCGCGCTTGCGTCCATTGACACGCATACCGGCTCATGCGGCGCGTCGTACCTCAACACCGGACTACTACTAATTTTCGGCTTTAGCTTGTTGAACGCTTTATCATGAATATTAAGCCACTCGAATTGAATATTTTTTCCGAGCAAGCTTCGCAACGGGGCTGATATATCCGAGTAGTTGGGTATGAATCTTGATAGGTAACTCTAACTCCTTTTTCTCGACCGATTTTGGCAAGGCAACTATTGCCTTGACTCGACTGTTGTCTGGTTTTATGCCACTTGCGTTGACACTGTGACCTAAAAACGTAATTTCAGACGCCTTAAACACACATTTATTTTTATTGAACTTGATGCCGTTCAATAAAGCCCTTCTCATTATCTCTTTTAACCTGTCGTCATGTTCTCTTTCAGTTTTTCCCCAGATCAATAAATCGTCACAATAAACTTCTACGCCCTCCATTTTAAAGATTTTATGCATTACATTGTGAAATATTTCAGGCGCACAGTTGATTCCAAATGGCAGGCCCTCAGGTGTAGAAAATGTGCAGAGTTTTGAACTTTCTTCATCCAAATGTAACATCCAAAATTCATTTTTCGCATCACATTTTGAAAAGAATTTAGCCCCTGCAAGGTTACTCACAATTTCATCAAGAGTTGGCAGTAGGAAGTGACTACGCTTCACCGCTTTATTTAAATACTTAGGATCTAAACATATACGTGTCCTATTATGTGATTTTTCCACCACTACAATGTTCGAAACCCAATCAGTGGGCCCATCTTCCCTCGCTATCACCCCTAACTTTACCATATTGTCTAATTCTTCCTTTAAACGAGGACGCAGTTTCAAGGCTATTTTTCGCGAACTATTCACCACAGGCGACACCGACTTATCTATTTCTATTTTACACACAGTGGGCAAACAACCAACGCCAACAAACACCGACTGGTCAATTTCAACTTTATTAATTTTCAAACCAGTATCATTACTCGTACTCTATGCCAGAGACGTGCTGCGCGCTGCAACCGGCCGCTTGCTGGCCCTATTTTGCTAATAATTTTTCCCGCATTTTTACATCCTTTAATCCCCGAATAAGCTGAGTTAATATAAGACTATTTTTTAAACTGTCAAAACCGCAACTTTTGCTGTTTATTTTTAAAACTCCTAAGAATTTATCAAAAGTGAGGTCTTTTTGGTATGGCTCGAAAAATGCCTCTCGTAGTTGACATTTTGCTGTGGATCACAATTTATTGCACAACATTTCATTATTAGATTTTTCTACGTCGGTAATATCTAACTCCTCATAGATTTCTCGTCCGTGTTTTCCTATGATATGCATGAATAGTGCACATTTCTCCTTCCTCGTAGCGGAATCCTTGTCTGAGGCAACTAAAAAATATTCAAACGCCATTTTCCATTGTCACCAGTTCGTCGTTATATTGCCCTCTTGTTGCAAAGGTGTCACCGGCTGCTGTATCGCAGCATATACGCTGCCTGTAGGAACACTTTTATCGGTCATTGTTATTTTAAATACTCTAAGAACACTTAAACACTTTTATGCACAAATACGCGTTTTAAGACCACACCTGGCACCATGTAGTATTGGTAAGGGTCTAAATCAAACAGCTGATGACATACGACTGCTTTATTAATCTCCATGCATATCAGGAAATACCCGCAACATATTTATAAGTCTACCCACTACAGTGGATTTCCCATAAACGTTGCAAAGGTAAAGTTTCCGTTCTGGATATGCACTAAAATTAACTGTCGTATCTACGTTTCTAACAAAATTATATTGCATTGTTTATTTATATTACATTTTCTTTTTATATTATTATCACATATTATATTATTTTGAAAAAATTTGTTTCATAAGGACATAAAAATAATTTTCTGGACTTTTTCATAATTTTTCTGTGATTCAAATGGAATCATTTTAAAAAACTTCTCGTTATTTTGTGCACCTTGTAGATTGGTGTATTACTTGTCACCTTTCGTAAATAAATTATTATTAAAATAGTACTCGCTATGTGATTTAAGAAGTTGGAATATAAAGATCTTAAAATTTCATTGATGATAATAATCTAAGAATCTTTATTTTCTTAAGAACATTCAACTCAAAAACATCTTTTAAACAATTGTGGCCGGAGCTACGTTTTACATATAGCATAGATCATTGTTGGGAGGCGCCACTCTTTTTTTGACTACACTCGTTTAGCTACGTCAACCATTTAATAATAATAATAACGCACACATTCATAGCACCGCACTAAGGAAACCCAGTATCGCGGGTGCCATGGACATACACATAGACAACCACAAATTACACCCAAATTCACGAGAGAAATAAATGTATGCCATACAACTATTTCTCCCGGCCCGGGAATCGAACCCGAGACCTTTGCGTGGCAATCCAGCACGGTAACCGTTCGGCCACGGGGGCAAGAGGCAAATGTAACAAGTAGGTAAGTACTTCATTTGATATAAGGTAATGTTTCCACACTTTCATGTATAATAATAAAGAAATAAAATATCAGACAACAGCACATACGTTGCTCTGATCCCAATGTAAGTAACTAAATCACTGGTGTTACAGAAATCGGAAACAACGACGGTACCACAAACCCAATCCGACCCAGACCCGACACAATATAAAGTTAGTTTTCTACATTGACCCGGCCGGGGTCGAACCCGGGACCTCAGACATGGTGACGGGACGAACAAGTCATGCTCCTGATGGTAAGCTACACGTCCTCCTCATAACATCGTCGTCCTGTCCATAACAGTTTCAGTGCCACTCAGACCTTTAAATCGCAAAGATCTGAGGGGCTCTGCCACTGCGCTCGTCACCCTGAGACATAAGTTGACAAGTCCCATGCTCCTGTAATTTCACCAGCACCCTTACCCTTCAAAACCGGAACACAGTAATGCTGACATTACTGCTTGGCGGCAGAAATAGGTAAGGTGGCAGTACTTCCCTGGACGAACTCTATCACAAGGAGCTCGACTGCTACTAACTGCTGCTTGACCACAGAGGACGTCAAATAATGGACAATAAACATTTCATTCATATGTTGAAATGATACGGAAATTAATTTAAATTAGTGTGGTGTTTTAAAGAAGTTAAGAAGCTTTGAATCGTGAGGAATGCAGAAGGCAACACCGACAAGAGCATGGCTCTTAAATATATGGCGCACGACTAGTTAGTCCCGTCACTTAGTATTATAAAAAAATATGGTCTTTACATAATTTTGATTGAATATTCACTTTTATATTTGTGCCTTTCGAACTAGCAACAGATTAACAGCTAGTTTTACGTAAAATAAGTACCAAAAAACCCTTTTCGTCACAAAGGGAACAAATGATGGGAATGTCGAATTTCCCTGCTTCTGGCGTTGGGTATATTGAATATAAAAGGGTGATTTATGGTTCCAAGAAACTAATCTAAGCACTTTGTATGATATGAATTTACACTACTACCTTTGTATCTTATAAATTTACAGTTACTTTCTTATTTATTCAATCATAGTCCTTTTATACTTTTAACGCGAACTTAACGCCGCCATTTTATTGTTTATAGTATGGAATGTTAAAAAATTATACCTTCAGTTTATCTAATTCATTATACATATTTTATTAGCATTGCGTCTATAGTATTACAAACTTGACATACTTTTTACAAGTTTATGTTACCTATCATACCTAAACACTCTGAAAAGGTTCATTTGAGTTTTCCAGCTGTATTTCACTCTATTCTATTATATTCTTAACAAATTCGATGTACATAGTTTGCTACGTTCTTTATGTAGTCATAGTAATTGTGATATACTAAGGGTTATTTGTAAAATACTAACAACCTCCTTGGACTATATTACTAAAATCGTAAACAACAACTTTTTTACATGACTTTTAATTATTAATTAAATTTTAAATTTGTACAAAAATAATAAAATATATAATAAAAATATTTCTAAGAATATAATGCTCTCTACAGAGAAAAGATTTTATTACATTCGATAACTCGTTGAAAACAGCGAGAAAGGGAAACTCGAAAAGGTATACGCAAACGAATTATTCTTACACCAATTTTCAAATTCAGGATCTCCAGCTCATTTTAAAGTTCTTAAGGTCAAACAAAAACTCTAACACAATGTCTTGCAGTACACGGCTTCTAAAGAACCATTAATTCTTCAAACCTGAATGATAATGATAGAATGTGAAAAGTCGTCGTCATTATCTAAATCAAATTACAGTAAATGTTAATTACGTAACAAGCAAAAAAGGGGACTTACCAGGTACCTATAGATAGCGAAGGGCACATACTCCAGCATGACGAAGACGTCAGCTACCGCTAGCCACTTGAGTAGTCTGTTTATAGGCGCCGCTGCCAGGTCTCGTCGGGTTAAGACTGCCACGTTCAGTGCGTTTGCGAGACTACCGAAGAAACACACCTGTGGAAACGTTGAAGGTATTTAGTTTTCAATTTAGACCGTTCCTATCGGAAGCCACATAGAGTTGAAATTAAATCTAACGTATCGAGTTCTTAGGTTTTCGCGATTGTTACACATAGAAAATGAAACTATTTTGCCGGATTTAAATCGCGTATATTTGTTTTTTCAAACAAATAGACGTTTCGGGACCTTTACAGGTCCCATGGTCACGGTTGAGTCAACCTATAAATCTAACGTGTCAAGCTTGACGTGCTCTTGGCCCTGTACAATTCTTAATATTGTTGATGTGTATAAAAAATGACACCCTGATAAGCAGGTGCTACACAGAAACTACTGAAAATACGTACTTTCAGTAGTTTCTGTGTAGAACCTGCTTCGGTACCGCCGCCCTACCAATATATGTTATATGTGTATATTAGGGGTTAAAGTATGAAATTGCCGTTTTATTGCAATAGGTTCTTTGAATTTTCATAGAATCTTCATGGTTTGAGGTTTTCGAATGAAACTTTTTTCAAATGGTTTCTGTGATTTTTTTTTTTTAATTTGAAACATTTGAATATCGACTTTCAATTGTTTTTGTTATTCAATTTAGACAAGAAAGATGGATACTGCGAAAATTCGAGTGATTTTTGAATACGAGTTCCGACGCGGAACTAACGCGGCAGAAACAGCCCGCAATATCAATGCTGCGTTTGGAGAGGGGTCTACTAATGAACGCACCGTGCGATTTTGGTTTAAACGCTTTCGTGATGGAAATTTCGACTTAAAGAACGAGCCACGAGGAAGACACAGGTGAATAACGATGAATTAAGAGAGATAGTGGAAGCCGATCCTAGTCAAACTACCCAGGAATTAGCGGCATGGTTTAACGTTACCTTACCCACAATATTGACTCACTTGCGTCAAATCAATAAAATAAAAAAATACGAAAAATGGGTGCCTCATCATTTGACTGATCTGCAGAAAGAAACGCGTGTTGAAACTTGTGTTGCCTTGTTGAACCGGTACAGAAATGAAGGAATATTGGATCGAATTGTAACATGTGATGAAAAGTGGATTCTTTATGATAACCGGAAAAGAAAAATGCAATGGCTGACCCCAGGTCAAATGCCACAACAGTGTCCTAAAGCAAAACTTACCAATAAAAAGGTAATGGTAACTGTTTGGTGGTCTCAGCATGGTGTTATTCACTATAGTTTTCTCCGATCTGGTCAAGCAATAACGGCAGATGTCTATTGTGCCGAACTCCGAACCATGTTGACAAAACTAGCAGTAAAACAGCCCCGACTCATGAATCGATCTTCACCATTATTGCTCCACGACAACGCGAGACCTCACACAGCACGAGAAACCATTTTGACCCTTCAGGAACTGCAGTTAGAAACCATTCGTCATCCTCCGTATTCACCAGACCTTGCTCCAACGGACTACCATTTTTTTCGTGATTTGGACAATTATCTACGTGACAAGAAGTTTTCTTCCCAGGAGGCAGTACAAAATGCTTTCACACAGTTTGTGCAGTCTAGATCGTCGGAGTTCTATCGCAAAGGCATTAATAACCTTCCCATTAGATGGCAGCAATGTATAGATAATAATGGCAACTATTTTGATTAAATAAATTTGTTAAAAATTTAAAAAATAAACAATTTAGATTTTCAGTACAAATCGGCAATTTCATACTTTAACCCCTATTATATATATATGTTATAATAGCAGCAGAGGTCGTTGTGAAAGAGTTCGTCCAGGGAAGTACTGCCACCTTAGCTATTTCTGCCGCGAAGCAGTAATGTGAGCATTACTGCCTTCCGGTTTTGAAGGGTAAGGGAGCTGGTGAAATTACAGACACATGACAAAATTTGTTATACATTTATTTACACAGCTAAACAGCCCTATTGTATCCAGATAAAGAAGAAAAGACGACTAGTGATACCACAGGCGCATGAAACTTACGATTTTATATAATCCGTACCCGGAAACACAATGGGTATCCCCATAAATAGCACTTTAGCGCACGTGCTCTTTACAAAACTTAGTGCGATCGTATATTGAATACCTAGTAACCAACCAATCTCGATCAATCCATTTATTTAATAGTCGGAATAAGGTACAATCATGTTCTTATTTTAACAAATCCACCTTGCTCTACCATAGTTGGCATGAAAATGTATATATTATTTTTTAAATTTTTTACTAATTGTAAGTGTGCATTTGACCTCCATCTCATGGTGGAAAGTGACGATGAGATCGACGATAGAACACGAACTTCTAAATATTCACTCTCGCTTTGAAAAGGCCCAAGATATAACATTCAGGGACCAAGTCTGCAGGCAGGGAATTCATTCACTCTATAGTCGTTCGCCACATAAATGTGGAAGCGTAACACTTCGTGCGAATCTTTGGAATATCAACTATATAGGGGTGGAACGCAAGCGGACGCCTAGTCCCCCGGTGATGGAAAGGGGAAGGCGGAATTAAATAGTGTAATTCCATTGCACACTCTCTATCATATATCCTAAGTTAAAGTAAAATAAAATACCGATAAGCAGGCAACTTTACGGCAGTGTTCAAGGCTATGCAGCTTAGCCTCCACTAATACCGAGTCACCTGTAAGCCTTTTGGTACGGTTGCCAATTGAATCCAAGGTATGTTACAGTTAGCAGAGCCGTCCCAAAGGTGGCAGCAGTATTCCATGCAGGACCGGACTTGTGCTTAGTACAGCTGAAGCAACTATCCCGGTGAAATAAAATTTTTACATATATAATTATTTAAAAACGACCTAACCTACAAACCTACAACATTTTGGTATATCAACATTCATGTATAACCTTAGCAAATTACTTTAGACACCTATAATTATGGGATTAGTTTGCATGTAGGTATAAATCGGGATATTAAAAGAAGGAACTACCTTTACGTAAAAGCTTATCATTCGTACGGTAGGACTGATGCTCTAGCTGAGTAGGTTATTGATTTAATATAGCCGCAGTTGGAAGTTGGTACGTGTTTCATCATAAATATATAATATTTTTTATTACATATACATAGGGTGCACGTAAGCAGCCTCCACGCGCGTCGTACCATTCCTCTCCTGTGCGACTGGCGGACTCTGGGCGAGCATCGTACGCCGATAGGCAAAGCTTTTTACAAGCATTCTAGTGTAATGCCATCGACATAATAAGAAGCAGAATGGAAATATTTGACTTCAATTTTACAGTGTGGAGAAATTTCTTTCGATGAATTTTATTTTGTAATTTTATGATGTAATTTTATTTTTTCTGGACGTCTTGGACAATACAGTGTCAGTTATATAATTTATTTATTTATTTAAGGTCAACCAGTGCTAGATGCAATGTACAATACCATACAACCATGTACAATACTTAATATTAATTTAATACTACAACACTCTTTAGCTTGGAACAGATGACAATTGTCCACAACATTTAAATGCAACAGATTTAGTTAAATATTCTATTTAAAAATGAAAATGCACGTTTATGAATTTAAAAAGTTTGAGCAAACCATAAATTAAAAATCCACAAAAAATAAGCAAAATGAATGCACCTAGTTTTGAGACCTCATAGACGCTATAAATGATTTTAAAGATTGGTGGAATATATCTACCTCAGTGCTATCCTTATATAATTCCTGCACATACAAAACAACGGATCATTGTACGACACGTTGTATGTTGTTAGTGGCACATTAAAAAGTTTTTGCGTGCGGTATCTTCCAATCATAATCGCAACCCGATCTAATAATTCACTAGCGTCACACACAGAGTTAACCAATTTATATAACATGGCAAAGCTGTGCGAAGAGCGTCTATTCTCTAAGGTGTCAATTGTAAAATACTTTAACCTATCTTCGTATGATGAGAGCTTACGTTTTAAACCCATTTTAGTGCATAAATGTCTCAACAACCTTACCTTACCTTAATGTAACAACAACCTTCTGTATAGATTCAATTCTTCTTTTATGTCGATCGGAAAACGGAGACCAAATCAATGAGCAATACTCCAACACACTTCGAATCAATGCATTATATAAAATAACAATGCTGCATGGATCTTTGAATGGCCGCACATACCTCATTAGAAAACCCATAATTTTATTGCACTTTGACACTATATAGTTATAATGCTGTCTAAAAGAGAGACTGCAATCAATCCACACTCCCAGATCTTTTATTACTGTCTCACGTTTTAATTGTACTTTATTTATATTGTATGTGTGTTGTAAAGGATTTTTTACGTGTAAATGTAAGTAGATGACATTTGCTAACATTAAGCGACATATTATTATTTCGACACCAATCTGAGAACACGTTAATATCCCTTTGCAGCGCTTAACAATCTGTAGTCACTACGATTTTATTAAAAAATCTTTATATCGTCGGCAGATGCTAGACACTCAATGCTGATCAATCCCAATAGATAATTAATGAATAGTATGAATAGCAATGGGCCCAGATTAGAACCCTGTGGAGCACCAGACAGCGGCTGAAAGGGAATTGAATCATATTCGTATACAGTCACCAGCTGAGTTCTATTCATTAAGTAAGATTCCAACCAACGCAACAGATTACCGTGTATTCCAAGGCGATGCATCTTACAAGACTTTAAATGTTGGAAGAGAAAGTATAAAGAAATTTTGTTTATATTAACTATTATTGACATCATATATTAAATAGTAATATTGTGACACTGACAATTCAAAATAAATTATTATACTCTATTTTATTTACTATTAATATTAATTAAATTCAAACTAATAGGACTATTCATCAAACACACAAATATGTAGAAAATCACATTATATACTAAAAAACTACGAGCTATTCTGATTTCTATTTATAATATGTTGATGAAAAGGACGAAGTCTCAGCATAGTGCTGTTTTTCAATCGCCGCCTATGTTCTCAGTAGTACACTGTCGCAACATAATTTTGGACAAAAGGTCTACAACAAAACAACTTAAATTAACTATTTATTTGCTAGT